CTATCGTGTCCAACTAGCTAGAAGATTGTAACACGATAGCAGTGAGCCACCATTGATCTAAACTACCGTGTCCAACTTGCCAGTAGATTGTAACAAGATAGCAGTGAGCCACCATTGATCTAAACTACCGTGTCCAACTTGCCAGTAGATTGTAACAAGATAGCAGTGAGCCACCATTGATCTAAACTACCGTGTCCAACTAGCCAGAAGATTGTAACACGATAGCAGTGAGACACCATTGATCTAAATTATCGTGTTCAACTAGCCAGTAGATTGTAACATGATCGCAGTGAGACACCATTGATCTAAACTATGATGACCAACTAGCTAGTAGATTGTAACAAGATCGCAGTGAGACAACCTTGATCTAAATTATCGTGTTCAACTAGCTTTTTGAAGGTTTTCAAGTTTTCAATTTGTACAACAAAAATGACATTTGTTGCTTTTACCTGTGATTTAGAAACCGCAATCCTGTGCAGTCAGTGAGCTCTAACGATCCTGTAGACTTGTTTTATCCCTAAAAACCATTGACATTCCGACCGTGCTATTTTATCTGACCCCGCAACTTATGAATCACACAGGGACAAAGTTTTCGGAGCCTATTCTAAATAATAAATCAACAATGATATATTTTATTTTCGATTCTTTATTCATGATTGTAAATTAATGTTTCCCTAGATTTTAATATTCTTCTCCCTCTCCTTCTTCTCCTTCACCTTCAACAGAATCAACTCCAACTTCTTCATAATCTTTCTCTAGAGCAGCTAAATCTTCTCTAGCTTCAGAGAATTCACCTTCTTCCATACCTTCACCAACATACCAGTGAACGAAAGCTCTCTTAGCATACATCAGATCAAATTTATGATCAAGACGAGCCCAAGCTTCAGCAATAGCAGTGGTGTTACTCAACATACAAACAGCTCTCTGGACCTTGGCTAAATCACCTCCTGGTACAACAGTTGGTGGTTGGTAGTTGATACCCACTTTGAAACCAGTTGGGCACCAGTCAACAAATTGGATGGTTCTCTTGGTTTTGATGGTAGCAATAGCAGCATTGACATCCTTGGGAACAACATCACCTCGATACAACATACAGCAAGCCATGTATTTACCATGACGAGGATCACATTTGACCATCTGGTTGGCTGGTTCAAAACAAGCGTTGGTGATTTCAGCAACGGAAAGTTGTTCATGATAGGCCTTTTCAGCTGAGATGACTGGGGCATAGGTAGCCAGAGGGAAATGGATACGTGGGTAAGGTACCAAGTTGGTCTGGAACTCTGTAAGATCGACGTTCAAGGCACCATCAAATCGGAGTGAAGCAGTGATTGAGCTGACGATTTGTCCTATCAATCGGTTTAAGTTGGTGTAGGTTGGTCTTTCAATATCGAGATTTCGTCGACAGATATCATAGATAGCCTCGTTATCCACCATAAAGGCACAATCGGAATGTTCCAATGTGGTATGGGTTGTAAGGATAGAGTTGTAAGGCTCTACCACAGCAGTTGATACTTGTGGAGCAGGATAAACAGCAAACTCCAATTTGGATTTCTTTCCGTAATCGACGCTCAATCTTTCCATCAACAAGGAAGAGAAACCGGATCCGGTTCCTCCACCAAAGCTGTGGAAGATGAGGAATCCTTGAAGACCAGTACATTGATCAGCCAGCTTCCTGGTTCTGTCGAGGACCAGATCAATGAGTTCTTTGCCAACAGTGTAATGACCTCTGGCATAGTTATTAGCAGCATCTTCTTTACCAGTGATGAGTTGTTCAGGATGGAATAGTTGACGGTAAGTACCAGTTCGGACTTCATCTACTACTGTTGGTTCCAGATCAACAAATACAGCTCTTGGAACATGTTTACCAGCTCCAGTCTCGCTGAAGAAAGTGTTAAAGGAATCATCTCCACCTCCAATAGTTTTATCAGAAGGCATCTGACCATCAGGTTGGATACCATGTTCTAAACAGTACAACTCCCAACAGGCATTGCCCATCTGGACACCAGCTTGACCAACATGGATAGAGATACACTCACGCTGAAAAGATAAGAATCGTTTAGTACCAAATACCAATACCAATACCAAGAGGGAAAAGTCTGGAAAGGGTAATAACTTTATTTGAGAATCGGCTGCTGGAAACTCTTGGGAGAGTCCACTTAGCTAATATTTTCATTTTTGTTAAGTATTCCATTGCATAGAAAAATAAAAATCAGTACTCACCATTTTGAAGAATTGTTTTAGAGTTTGAAGACGAAAAACTTGCAGGAAGATTTGAAGATAAACCAAGACAAGATGGTATCACTGAATGTCTTGTGGTCGGTTTAGATTTCTATTTATACCTGAAATAAGAGCTCGGTTGTCATGTTGTTTGTATGTTGTTATTTATCTTTGTTTATCACCTGGATTAAGAGGTGAACTAACTGTCCAACTCGATATTGACAATTTAAACCGATTAACTGTAATCCGTTAATCTCATTATAGATTAGATTAGATAATCCAATCGTATCAGATTGGATTAACTGTAACTATCTCATTAAATCAATGTTGTGGACGGAGATTTTAAAATGTTCATGGTAACTGTCTATGTAATATCACGGTAGTATGGTATAAAACGCTGTACGATTCCTACCAAATCATTCAACTTTCAACACCTCTTCTCTTCACTTCTTGATACCAGTCAGTTTTATAAACTTCAAAATGAGAGAAATCGTCCATATGCAAACTGGTCAGTGTGGAAACCAGATCGGAGCCAAGGTAAGCAACTACTTTTTTTCACAAAATATGTATTTTACTTCTACGCTATAAAATGAACATATGAAAACTAAATGAAAGTTTGAAAGAGTCAATAGAACCTAGCTAGTTTGATATATCTTTTTTATTTTCTGTTTCAGTTCTGGGAAGTGATCTCTGATGAACATGGTATTGACCCAACTGGAACTTACCACGGTGATTCAGATCTTCAGTTGGAGAGAATCAACGTTTATTATAATGAAGCTACTGGTGGTAAATATGTACCCAGAGCTGTCCTTGTCGACTTGGAACCTGGTACCATGGATTCTGTCCGATCAGGACCATTTGGGCAGATCTTCCGTCCTGATAACTTTGTCTTTGGACAATCTGGTGCCGGTAATAACTGGGCTAAAGGTCATTATACAGAAGGTGCTGAATTGGTAGATTCCGTTCTAGATGTGGTCCGCAAAGAAGCTGAAAGCTGTGATTGTCTCCAAGGATTCCAGTTGACCCATTCTCTAGGCGGTGGAACTGGTTCTGGTATGGGAACCCTCCTCATCAGTAAAATTCGAGAAGAATATCCAGATAGAATCATGAATACCTTCTCTGTTTGTCCTTCACCAAAGGTATGTTGAGTGTTATTGTTTTTTAAATACTACCTTCAAAACTTTCTGACCAGAGCATTTTATCCTCTAAGAAAGTATGAATGGTAGACTAGGAGCGGGTGGTTTTTGTTGATTGAGGTTTAAGCACAAAATTATCATTTCAAATTTCTTTACAAATCTGCATCTTTATAATTTCAGGTATCTGATACAGTTGTGGAACCTTACAACGCCACCCTCTCAGTTCATCAACTGGTAGAAAATACAGACGAGACTTACTGTATTGATAATGAGGCTTTGTATGATATCTGTTTCCGTACCCTCAAACTGACCACACCCACTTACGGTGACCTCAACCATCTGGTATCCGCCACCATGTCTGGAGTGACCACCTGTCTCCGATTCCCTGGTCAACTCAATGCTGATCTCCGAAAGTTGGCCGTCAACATGGTACCATTCCCACGTCTACATTTCTTTATGCCAGGATTTGCCCCTCTCACCTCTCGAGGTTCCCAGCAATACCGAGCTCTGACTGTACCAGAACTTACCCAACAGATGTTCGATGCCAAGAACATGATGGCTGCCTGTGATCCTCGTCATGGTCGTTATCTGACAGTAGCTGCCATGTTCAGAGGTCGTATGTCCATGAAGGAGGTGGATGAACAGATGTTGAACGTTCAGAATAAGAACAGCAGCTACTTTGTTGAATGGATTCCCAACAACGTGAAAACTGCTGTTTGTGACATTCCACCAAGAGGTCTGAAAATGTCTGGTACATTTATTGGTAATACGACCGCCATCCAGGAACTCTTCAAGAGAATCTCAGAACAGTTTACTGCCATGTTCAGACGAAAGGCTTTCCTCCATTGGTATACTGGTGAAGGTATGGATGAGATGGAATTTACTGAAGCTGAATCCAACATGAATGATCTGGTATCTGAATATCAACAGTACCAGGATGCTACAGCTGAAGAAGAAGGAGAATTTGATGAAGAAGAAGGGGAACAAGACGATGCTTAGTTAATTGTAATATTTATATTTTGTGTCATTTATTAAATCTCTTATTTCTTTAATTCGATTGATGAATTCGCCGTTTGGTGCATGTGAGGCATCTTCACAATGGTCATGTATTACGTGTTCAACTTATAAATGAAGACATAATATCTTGACCATTGTGAAGATGCTGATTGGGGGAGGGGTGCTGATCGAGTGGGTAACCCACTAAATTTCCCTCATTTTAATCACAAGAAGATCCTTCCGATAAGTTCCTAAATTGATCCTGATTGTTGTTCACATCAATAGGTTCAGCTAGAAGCATCCTAGGAGTATTCTGTAGTAAACTGTATTCGACAGACTGCATCAATAACATTTGTTATCGTTTCAAAGTCATTTGAACAGAATTTGTTATCATTTTATGGTCATTAGAGAGGAATTTGTAATCAGCTCGTTAGTCCCTCCGGAATCTTTAGTAGAAGGCCTACTGTATTTGTGAATGATTAAAACAATTTAACTGCCATTGATTAGTGAGGCTCAGAGACTTAAAGTTGAAACAGAAATGACGGCTCTAAAATGGCTTGATAACCATTTTGATGTCCAGTTGAAGTCTGGATGTCAGAGACCAGATAATCGAGAATGTTAACCGGAAGTTGTTAGAAGTGAACACGTTGGCCGAGCATGCGTAATACAGAATAACAATCAAGATGGCTGGACATGGCGAAGTAGACGAACTTTTTGACATAAAAACTGCTCTGTATATCGGAAATTACCAACATTGTGTTAATGAAGCACAGAAATTAAAGGTTTGTTACGTCTTATATCTTTTGCTGCTTGGAATGTTTCTCTCACCGTTCATCAACGCAAATAAACGGTCTTTACTATCTGTATTTGCGTTGGGTTGGAAAATGAGGGGGGTGGGGGGATACTGTCTACATGGAACATCTTAATCTGGATCTGTGTGATTTAAATATATTCAGATACGAGATGGTGAGCTGAAGACACAGAGAGATGTGATAATGTACCGAGCTTACATCGCTCAGAGAAAATATGGAGTGGTGTTAGATGAAATTAATAGTTCTAAACCTGCCGAGCTTCAGGCTGTAAAAATGTTTGCTGATTATCTTTCTAGTGATAGTCGAAGGTATGGTTTAGATTTTATTTTTATTCCTTAGGTTTTGGTGGTAAGATATACAGTGCGATAGCCTAGTCTCTACCAAGTTGGATTGTAATTTCGCCACTAAGTTCCATGGATTCTAGATATCACTAATCATAAAGAGTTTTAGCAATTAGTGACATCATCAAACACTTAGTTTTAGTAGAATTGCAGGAAACACAGGCGTCCGATTAGAAATTTGAATGGTGCATATTGATGCCATCAGTGTTTCTGATAAAAACGTTTCACATAAAAAATTTAGAAAACTTCTTCACAATCCCTTTGAAATAAATCTGTATAGTATATATTATAGGATGAATGATGATTTATGATTTGTTTGTAGAGAAAGTATCGTGAAATCTATAGACAGTAAGATGACAGGAAGTGTTGATATTTCTAACAACACTTTTCTTCTAATGGCCGCTTCTATTTACTATCATGAACAGGTACGTCAAATTTCTTTTATGTTTTCCAAAATATATCTCATTTAAATTATGATGTACCAGACATTAGACATGAAACTATTAGAGTTATACTCTTATAATGAAATTCTCAAACTGAACCAATATGGTACATACATAGATATATATATTCATCAGTAGATTACCTTGTGTCATAACTTTACAACTATAATCCAATAAAACTAAGTAATTATTAAAAAACTCTTCAAACAAAAATCATGATTTATTTCAGAATAGTGATGCTGCCCTTAGATCTCTTCATCAGTCTGATAATCTAGAATGGTGAGTTGGTATCTTCTTTTACAGAGATATAATCAACTTTATAATATTGTTTCCCAATATATTGTGTATATTACAGACAGTCATCTAATTTGTGTGAATTATAAGTCCAACCTTGCTGTCTAATAGACCACTTATGAGATAAAAAAAACTTCAGAAAACTTTTTTGAAATGATAGAAAATTAGCATACAGTTGTAAGGAGGGCCAGTCGTATCTGTATTGTTTGTTTGTTGATGTTTTAATAATTAGATTTATCTCCCCTTTCAGTATTTCACTAATGATACAGATTTTACTGAAGTTAGACCGAGTAGATCTTGCTAAGTAAGTACCTGATAATTATATTGATATTTTTCTATATTACTGGATGTTCGTTATAACATCCATATTGTACTGTACGTTCAGTTTTATGGATTATTACGAGGTGGTCTATGTTCTTTATATGTATCACAGCCATTTTTACATCATTCTAATTTTCTGTCAGATGTCTATGCTTCTGCATATTAAATATAGAAATATTTAACCATATTATGATCTCACTATCAAAAAACACTGCTTATAATATTTAAAAGCTAGAAAATTGAGTTTATGTTCTCGTGTTTCAGAAAAGAGTTAAAGAGAATGCAGGAGATTGATGAAGATTCTATTTTAACTCAGTTAGCTCAGGCTTGGTTTAATTTATCAGTGGTGAGTTGGATATATATCAAGATATAAGAACCACAACCACCACCTGTAAACATACATCGCTTTACCGATATGACTTGTATGTCGACAGGTATCATGTTTCAGCTGTCATATAGAAGGCACTTTTCTGTTCATAAGATAATATATTTTTCCTACCAAATATAGAATGATATAGAAATTTGATTATAATAATATTGTAAAGAGGTTTTCTGTGTATCAGGAGACAGTGATGTCATCGATTTGCACTATTACAATTTTCAATCAGACATCTGTTGTTTGATGATATCAGTTTCCTAAATACAAAATAGTTTTGAATTTCTTTAAAACAGAAACTGAAACTCGGGCTGTATATTTCAGGGAGGAGATAAAAATCAAGATGCGTATTATATATTTCAAGAACAAGCTGATAAACACGCCTCTACCCCGTTATTACTCAACGGTCAGGCTGCGTGTTATATAGCCCAGGGTAAACTAGATGATGCTGAAACAGTTCTACAAGAAGCTTTAGACAAGGTCAGTATTGCTTCCAGGGTCGATGCCTCTGTGGCCTTGAGCTTTGTTAGCATGGGCAAGCATTGTAATGTTTTTTTTTGTTGATATTTTGACAGGACAGTAATAATCCTGAAACTCTGGTGAATTTAATAGTTTTAACACAACATCTTGGTAAACCCCCAGAGGTATGTTACATTCTCTTTGTTTATCTTTCTGTTGTTAATGTTTGGAAATATTGAAATAGAACCTGATATTCTTTAAATAAACCATCCAGTCTTGTCTCGAGGTGCAGACACAATAACAAGTCCTACTTGTCAACCCTCAGTAGGGGATAAGGTTTATGTTTGAACACTGTGCAGACACTCTCTCACTGGATGCATATCTCGTCAAGTCTCACCATTTAGATATCTATTAATTTTTGGTTAAAAAAAAGGATGGTTGTTTATTTGATATTGTAGGTCAGTAATAGATATATATCTCAGATGAAAGATTCTCATAGAAGTCATCCATTTATTAAAGATTATATACTAAAGGTACAACTTCTTTTTCCTTTTTATTAAATTCTTTGAACTATCTGACACCATTGTAAATAGTAGCATTGAGACTGTCGTCTGTTAGGAAAGTGGAATAGCTCAGTTAACAGCCAGTTGGGTAATGGTTTGTGAAGGGAATAAAAATTCTCATCATGCCTTGTGGCTCCCACAGATTTAAACCATTCTTATAATAATTTAATTTTAATAGTGAAATATTTTTGTTATTTTCTAGGAGAGTGAGTTTGATAGAATTGCCAGGAATTATGCTCCGTCTGTGTCTGCCTAATCTAACTTCATCTTGTCACACTTTGTACGATTAACTATAAAATGAACATCTGAAACATCAACAACTACAGATATAAGAACCCACAACCACAATGACTTCAAATTGTAACACTTTAAAAGATGATGGTTCTATAGCCAGTCCTCAAAAATGAATCTATGTTTTGACATTTCCTGGGTGTGCATTAATATCAGGCCACATATTTTCGAATTGATTTTATTACTAGGTTATCCTAGAAACAGTGTTATAAGTTAAGACATCCTAGTGCCAAGATCCTTTTGAGAATACACAGCCTGATCTATTTTATCAAGGTCAGATAATTGAATTTTTAGCTTTTTCAGTGACTTTTGATGACGTATCGGTTGGTTGACATCCATTTCATTACAGGAATAGTCATTGGGAAACTGGGGAATATTTGTTGAAGCCCTGGGGCTGATGTGTTGAATTATGAAAATGACTAAAATTGTAAATATTGTATCAATGTTGAGGGAACAATCATTCTATTGTAATATTTATCATTAAAAATATCCAAGTATCTCTAATGTCTTCTTGATTGAAGTTGTCTGTGGGAAGATCATTGCAGTTGGCAATGGGGGACATTGTGTCAAGTTGGGGAAAATTAGCCTGCTTATTTATCAGTCAAGTAAGCTGAATTGTATCACTGACAGGGTGGGCAACATGATTGAAGCTTTAGTCAATGAGCTAACATGAACCCTTATAAAACTAGCTGTCCTGATGAGGATTGTGTATCTGAAGCAGGTATCAGTTGCTTAGACGAGTTCTAGTCAATGAGAATATCTAACAGTCCTATGTTGGAGAGTTAATCACATTTTCAAAACTATCCGTCCTGTTCCACAGTATCAGAAACGTGTCAGAAACGTGATGAGGTCTAGAAATAACCAAGGTATCCCCTGTTAATGATTTAATTCGACTGAGTTTTTTTATACAAAATATGTGACAATAAAGATATCTATTTACATTATCTTCAACAATTATTCAAAATCATGTTCAACTATTTTAAAATATACATAAAGTACATCGTCTGGGACTAAAAATGGTACAATTACAAATTGGAATATTTAGTTTCGTGTTTTTTCTGTGGGAAATCCCAATCATTAAAGGCCATGGAGTCACCGAAATAAAAATATAAAACTGAAATATATATTTTGAATTGATATTAATATAGGTTACTGAATACAAGCTAACATTTTCTTTTGAAATCTGTTCTATAAAGAGCTATCAGGGTTGCAGGCTATTTTTTGATTTTTTATTGTTCTCTTGCAATGGATCATTAGGTTAGGCAGTTATTTTTGGCTCGTTTCGAGTCCTATCTATGTATGTTAAGACACTAATTTTTTAGATCAACGGTGACAGCACGTGCATTTTCTATGGTGACCTATATCCACAGTTACATGATTGAAGAAGACACTGATGTTGTAAGTCCAATGGCCTCGAAGTTGGTATTTTAGAACGAGTAATCATATCCAAGCTTCTAATGCTCCTCCGTCATAGCCCCAAATAAATGCCCGACTGAGGATGTTTATGTTAAAACACGTGCATATTGATGTTTGACACGATTAATAAGTATATGAATGAAATGTTTATAATTTCTGATCGAAGGTGTCAGGATATTCAGAATAAGCGGTGTTATATTCTCCATTCTTCTTCAACTGAAATAAAAAATAAAATTGATTGAAGTTTTACGTCCTGTTTTCTGAAACTGATACAAAGTAATTTGTCTCTAACTGGGATAATATTTATCTTTTTAATGATTGGTCCTCCATTCAGAATCTACCTTCAGTAAGCGGTAAGGTTTTATAAAGGGCTGTGGCGGTTTAGAGAGGATTCATTGTGTACTCTAGGCAGCAATTGTCATGCACTGCTCCAACAATCTAATACTGCTGGTTATCATACAACAAAGTTTAAATTACATGTATGTCCAAGGAGCAATTGGGTATCCTAAAAGGGATCTAGTACCACCAAATTGAGATCAAGATATCCAGATGTACACACTAATAAGAGTTAAGGATACCGTACCTGAACATCGTCTGGATTGACCACATTATTCTCTTCATCAGCTTTTAAATCAATCACCATGCCGGGAGAATGTGCTGCTACTTTAGCTCTGTATTTAGGAAGGGCGGGTCCCCATTCTCTAGTCGGGGTAGTCAGAATTTTAAATCTCTACAAAATAAATACATCAGGGTTAATAATAATAATAATCATGGTATGTTGAAATATAGTAAATTGTTCACACTGTCCAGGTTTATCATCAAAATTTAAGATCAAGAACGCTGGTCTAGCCTCTATCATCAAGTTCCTCTTTGTCCACGTACAGCTTCAACGAAATCTTCGTCGTAGACAGGAATAGTTTTGGCATCAGAGACTAATGCTGGTCTGGATTTGGACTAGCTTCCATTGTAAAGCTTTATAAAAACTTCGTACATGTGTTACTGTACCTTGTAGAAGGTAGGTAAGAACCGAGACATCTTGGTTTGTAAGCTTTCCTTTAAATGATACAATGTCCGTCTTCAAACCAATTTTCAACATACATGTATTTAAGAATGTATAAAGGAGAAAAAGCAGACAAGACCACGTGAGAACCAACTGCATAAAAATAGCCCCGGTGTTCAAAAAGACACTTACCTGTGATATGGTACCAGGTGTTTGGATTAAGAGAACAATAGCAGGTATAAATATAGCCAGGATCACACTGAGGGTCATTCCCCACCCTAAGGCATCAGCCCAATGGGGTTGAGAGTCCAGTCGGGTATAGAAAATCAACGAGTAGAATAAAATAAACTGAAATGAAAACATCCAGAGCTTTATGCCTTCCTTTTTGAAGCTCAGAAGCAGAAGACGAACATCACGATATCGTGCAGTGAACAAAACAGAAAATATAAGGACATCGGCATAAGCCAACTTTCTACCATGGTTTTAGGCTGATCATTACAAACAGAACTTCGTTTCTAGTTAGCCAACAACCGTTAACAATGGTTATTAGATGCTAAGTAAAAGTCAGCAATTAAGGGTGGCTATAAGAGTTTCTGGCGAGATGAAAACTTACCAGGAGAGCTAAGGGAGTAAGAACAACCCAACATAAACTAAACCAATATTTCCAGATAATAAACGGGAAGATTCCACAGACTTTAGATCCCAGCATAGTTTCTATATCAGCCGTAAATCTTCGACATCCTAAAAATACCAAAGAAAGAAATCACATGAGTGTCGGTTTATTGTCCCATCCGAACTACTAATTGCTTTCTCAAGTCTCAATCACTGTCAGGGGAATTCAAAAAGGGGATGTCCACAACCCAAAAGACAACCTTTGAAAATTGGTAAGCAGGTGCGTGTATCAAGATCGTACGAATCATCTTTAACTCAAACTCAAAACCAGCGGATGGAATTTACATCCAAACTACAAATCAACAACTTAAAGGACTATCTGTGATCCAAGAATAAGTCACCCTGATAAAAGAGAATGAGCGACTCACCGTAAACCATACCGAGTGCTATACATTCACATAGAGCAATAACCAGAACATTCCATCCACCAGCATAATAATCTATTAGATCTAACATGTGAACACCTCCCTGTAATATAGTTATTATTATAATTGATAATCCATCCACAGACAATATACAGTCATTATATAGTATATTATAATTTATAATCCATTCAGAGGCGTTTCTAGGAAACATTAGTTCAGGGGGTGGAGCAGGGGCTGCAGGCTATTCTTTCACTATGTAAACGGAAAAGCTGGACCAGTCTCTTTTCTGGGGAGACGATCTTTGGTTCGCTGTAATTCCAGACAAAATGGCACATGCAGTGTGCAATGAGGAGACCATATTGGTAAACTTTTTTTCGATTTTGAGAGACCGTAAACGTGCACTGCCTTCAAATGTTACGCTGGATGCTGTCCACATTGTGACAAAAACTATGTATGTTGGGACTGTACTTAAAGTTTATTACAATGGGTAAAATAAGAAGTGATCAGGGGTGATGCGGTTCTGGCAGTAAAATTCCACTTACGTTGGTTGTGAGGGTCAAACCCAACAAGAAAAATAACAACCCGAAACCAAAAACCGTGGCAGCTTTAAACTTCCTGGCTCTTGGGAAGAGATCCAAGAAAGACGTGGAGACAGTTTCTACCAACACAAACTGAAACGAGAATACATATTATAGAGAATTTATCATGGGGTTGAAATTACCCGAAGATGACAATGTAAATTGTTGAAACGTTGTGTACAATTAAAGCCAGAAGTAGTGAGCTATAAAAGTTTGTTCCGATCTCTACCTGTAAATGTCGCTGGGGGATTATTAATATTAACTGTGGTAGTCTCACCTGACTGTCGACACCGAGAGTGACCAACATGATAAAAAACAGAATACTCCATAGAGTCGAGATGGGTAGCTTCGTTACAGCGAATGGATACACCACGAAGGCTAACGTAGGACCTGGAAAACAATTCATATTAAGCTGTTTCACTCTATCACTCAAATTACTTTCAAAATCGGCTTTATTTATTGCATGTCCTCAAATCTCAGTTTAAAAGTTTTTATGAAGCAGGACCAAGGTGACGTAGTGCCTTTTATATAGGTATAACGATTTCATTTTAGTATTAAGTGTTATAAGAGATACTCCCTTACAGAAGCATTGGCCAAGGTCACAAATAGAGACTACATGTATTACCAACTTCCGGAGAGATTTACAAATCAATTGGAATTTTGTGAAACATAATAACAGAACTCACCTTTCTCTGCGACATCAGCTATGGCCATGCCAGTATCCTGAGCTAGGAAACCAAGGTAGGAGAAAATAACAAACCCAGCAAACACACTAGTTAAACAATTACCAAACGTAACGATGACGGTGTCCCTGGAATAGAGAAAATGAAATTGAGTTTTATATCTTTTAAAGTCACCGTCGCAATTTGAGCCTTCAAATTCATGTGTGTCAGTTCGAATAGGAAAAAAATCCAGTATGTAGTAAGAAAATCGGAGCCTACCTGAAACAATCGTTGTGAAATTTATTATAACTGGACAGGGCTATCAGTCCACCCCACGAGGCCGAGAGAGAGAAGAAAATCTGAACAGCTGCGTCCTTCCAAACATCAGCCGAGGCCAGTCTGTCTAAATCAGGGGTGATATAGAACATTATACCATCGTAAGCTCCTTCAAGTAGGATACCTCGAATAAACAGAATCACCAATATTATATAGGGGAAGGTCGCGGTGAAATATACCACCTGAAATAATACAAAAAAGTTTAATTAATTAGGGCTTGGTCTGTAAACCTTGGGCTAATGAAACGTCGTCTTGTTCTGAACCTAAATGGGCTAGTGGAGTTTTACATCCTGTTTTCTACAGGTGGGATTGGCAACGGAGGGTAATTCTGTTTGTCTTACTTGACCCGTCGAGGGAGTCGAATGAGTCCCCCCTTTGAAATATTTCAGCCAAATCCCCTTGAGCATAATTATTGGGCTAATGAAATCTAATGGAGAAAAAGGTCTGTCTTCCATGTAGAGGGATCTCGAGGTGAACTTTAAAGACACATGGCACAGATTTTTACCAATTCATGAGTCAATAAATTCCTAATGAATGTATAAACGGTCTACCATGAAAGTTACAATCGGCCTTACGGAAACTTCCGAGGGTTGCCGAATGCTGAATGAATAAAACTTACTTTTCCTGAAGATTTAACCCCTCGACTGAGAGTAGCACAGACAAAGATCCAGGCCAGTAAATAACACAGTAACAGTTGCCATCTGATAGGACCTAGATCACCAATATCTTCACTGTAGGCTGATCCTAGAGCAACTCGTCTGAAATAAACCCATGGTTAATAAATTTATTGACAGATACTGATATAGCTGTAAAATGATTGACCCTTCAATACG